AACTTTGTCCAATTGCACAAGCCTATTGTCCCAATTGCCCATTACCAATACTTTGCTTTTGGTCAATTCACATGCATTTGTCTTGGACCGTCCATTGCCCTAAACTCTAAAGCCCCACAGTCAAAGAGAAGAAAAAGAAGAATCGACCGGCACAAAAAGGTTCAAGATCACCAATTTGCAAATCATATTTTGGGATTTTCTTTTGTTGTGCTAATTTTGTGATTTTTCTTCCATTTAAGTAACAAATCTGTCGTCTACTTGTTTGACATTTGTTTTTCTTTCATCTAGGTAGCTCCGTAGCAAACCTGTATTAATTGAATTTGGATGTGGCTTTACTTTTTCAAGTTAACTTGGGCCTTTAATTAGTTCCTTTGAATTATTAAATTTGAGATATGCAAGTGTATCTCTACTTGTTGAAACTTGAAAAATATAGTGTTGATATGCACCATTGCTGGGAATGGCAATGGGCCGAGCCGTCGAGCCGAGCCGAGCCGGCTCCGCCCTTTAATCCACGAGCTCGGCTCGGGCTCGTGGCTTGTTTTTAACGAGCCGAGTCCACTAGCCGCTCGCGAGTTCGTGTTTTTTTTAATTTTTTAAATTAAAAAAAAAATTTTACACATTTTTTGCACCATTTTTTAAAAAAATTCAATTTTTTGGACGAACCCAGAGCTTGGCTCGTGGGATCGAGCCCCCTGCTCAGCTGGGGCTCGTCATTTGATGAGCTCGAACCATCCATGAGCCAAGCGGCCGAGCCGACGAGCCGCTCGGCTCATTTGACATCCCTAACCATTGCCTAGTTGTTCCTTAATCTCTAGCCTCTAAACTCTAGTTTGTGCCTTAGTTATCTTGAATCCTTGACATTAAAAATGTGTTTCAAAGTTCTATGGTTGTGACTCGTGACCTCATTTTTCCCTTAAATTTGTCCACTGTCCACAATAGAAATTTTGATGTGTTATGAGATTGGATAATGCATTTTTCATCTATGATATATTGTTTTAAAAAAATTGCACTTCAATTTTTGACTCCACAACATCAATCGTGGTGTCTAGACAACTCTCGTGTTAGCCCTCCGGGGCATAACCCATTGGTACAAATGACAGAAGTGAGGTAGTTTCAGCCTTGTTGACAGTCGCAGTGCGAGGATTCGATTCCTGAGATATGAAATTAGACTCTTTGTGAGTATCAGTGTATGGACAAACTCTTCTTCCCTGACCTATTGAGGCACATCCAGTGATTTACCTCCCTCACGATGCTCCAGAGACGAAGTGGTGGGGGCGCTCAAGATTGGGGTTCAACCTTTTAGACAACTCTTGTGTGCATGGAGGTGAAGAGGGTCCATAGTACATTAAAGAACAGTACTAGGAAATTAGGAAATCATGGCATATGCTTAACGCTATTTATCAGCATGATTCATAAATAACAGTTTCATATACCAGTTGAATTATTGTCTCATTCTTCAATAAATATATTTTTATATAATAAAAAAAATATTATCTAGTACAAATAATGCTAAAAAAACGATGGATTATTCTACTAAAATATATGTGATAACAATTTATTCTTTAACTATGTTTGGCTTCTGTTTATAGATTATTTGTATATATTCAAATGACTTTTTATTAACATTTTGAATTAACATTTTGAAGGGATCTACAAGTATTATCTGCATTTTCATCACTCATTTTTTTTTATTTATAATTTAAACCGTTTGTAAAACACTTCCCAAACATGCTTTTTGCCATGCTCAAATATTTTGAGTTGTTCAGGTTAAATTAAATTAAATGAATACAAATAGTGAATTATGTCAAGAGAATATAAATTTTAGAAGTAAATATTGAAATAAAATAGGAATTAATTTTTTTGAACAAATAATTAGGAATTATTATGTAGTAAAACTAGAAAAAATAATTATTGCACAATCTAATTGGCCGAACATATCAATGCCATTGCATGGCACAGTTTCAATTCAACCAAATAGCATTAATGACGTCATATAATGTTTTGTTGCACTCTTTTGAAACTGGTTCGACGACTACTCTTTCAAAACTCTTTTTTTCATACTCATTTTGAAATACATATTTTTACAATAAAATATTCTTCACGTAAATTGAAAACATTTTCCTACTTTTTTATTAAACATTTTTCAAAAATTTACTATTCCAAAACTAATTCTTAAAAAAAATAAAAATAAATAAATAAATAATTGTCAAACAAGGGCTGTACTGATTTGGTGGTTCATTAGGGGTGGTGGTTGGGGCGAAGACAAATGCTAATTAAAATGGAAGCTTTCATTTTGAGTTGTTCAGGTTAAATTAAATTAAATGAATACAAATAGTGAATTATGTCAAGAGAATATAAATTTTAGAAGTAAATATTGAAATAAAATAGGAATTAATTTTTTTGAACAAATAATTAGGAATTATTATGTAGTAAAACTAGAAAAAATAATTATTGCACAATCTAATTGGCCGAACATATCAATGCCATTGCATGGCACAGTTTCAATTCAACCAAATAGCATTAATGACGTCATATAATGTTTTGTTGCACTCTTTTGAAACTGGTTCGACGACTACTCTTTCAAAACTCTTTTTTTCATACTCATTTTGAAATACATATTTTTACAATAAAATATTCTTCACGTAAATTGAAAACATTTTCCTACTTTTTTATTAAACATTTTTCAAAAATTTACTATTCCAAAACTAATTCTTAAAAAAAATAAAAATAAATAAATAAATAATTGTCAAACAAGGGCTGTACTGATTTGGTGGTTCATTAGGGGTGGTGGTTGGGGCGAAGACAAATGCTAATTAAAATGGAAGCTTTCTCAACCTAAATAAAATATTTGGTCTTGTATCGAGAGAAAAAATGTCAAAAGCAAATATTTTTCGATCATGATCAAGAGTATCTCGCTTAGAAGTTGAGATTCTTGATTTTGAACTCGTAAAAAACTTGTCAAGTTAAAATTATTTAGTTCTTTTGAAAGATTATTTCATTTTCACTTTCGAATGGTAACATATATTTTTATGCAATATGATCTAAAAAAAAGTGAGTTACAAGTTTAAAGAAATACAAAAATAGTTAACATTGTTTATTAGTCCCTCTCATTGCTATTATTTCGATTCTATTCTTAGGCATTTCGGTTTCTTATTCGATATTTCTTTTTGTGAGGTGAAATTTGTAAGGAGGTGAAATAGTTATGAAACAACACCTCCATGCTCCCTGGTGGCGCTAGATGCTTCTATTACTTCGTTGAATGAATGTTACCTACAAAATTTGGTGGGGATTCCTCACTCGTCGTACCTCCTGCGTGAGAATTAGTATGAGATTTTAGAGAAAAAAAGATATACTGAATGTTTAGATAGCCAAATTTCGAGATATCCATACCTGTTTTGCCTTAAGAGTATTTATAGGTGTCTGGAGCCATGTAAATGCTGTGCAGTTATGGCGCCAAGTGTCTCATGTAGCCTCTTCGACTACCTTACGTTCTAATTGGGAGACCTCCAACTATCCTTTGATTGGTTGTGTCTGTGACAATGGTTAAGCGATCCACATCTAATTCATTGATGATTTTATGGTTAAGTGTTGTGTCGACCGCGTAGTGGTAGATGGCCTCATAGTGTTTAGGCCGAGCATAGATGTACAGGGCCTCATAGTGGTAGACATCCCAATATAGATGTAGAGTACTTATGGTGATTGACGGCCTAGCATTGACGTAGAGTTCTTATTGACAGCCCATCATTGACGTAGAGAGCCTCATTGTGGTAAAGAGTTCAGCATGGATGTAAAGTGCTCATGAAGGAGACCTCACCTAGTTGATCATCATAGACAATTATTAAAGTCATCCAATATCAGGTGAAAACATTGAATATATACCTAGAACAATATTTATGCAATGTCGTACTTAAAATGACCTCTTTGAGTTGTCTTTCTCTTATAACATATTTCTTTTGAAAAAAGAAAAATGGAGCACGTTTGGTTGTACTCAAAATTACGTTTCAAGAAATTAATTTAAGAATTTTTTTAAAGTAAGTTTTGATGGTAAAAACAATTTCTTTTTAAAAAATTCATTAGGCCTAAAGGTTGAAAACATCAAGCATCCAAGGTTATGATGTAGTTCACAACTTTTGCCCATGCCAGACTAATTAATTACATGTCCATGCGTTGTTAAAATGTGCCTCGGACTTTTTATGTTCAACAAATTTCAAGCTTTGGACAATTTATACGTAATGACGTGGAAGGAAAAGAATACACAAAAAAGTTGACTGTGTTTTTAAACTGACAAATGATAGAATAACATGTGACATTATATAATCTACTATATAAAACTTGAGCACATATAGCAATGCTCTAAATATGAATATTTTTACTTAATTTTGTATTTAGGATCATCACTAATAAGAAAATTAATTAATTTACTTTTCACAAATAATTAACGGTTGTCTCATATGGATAATAACAAGACTTGAACTAATCACGTTTGTCTGTTTTGATACGACATCGACACACTTCAATCTAAAAAAATTAAGTTAGACAAACAAATTTATTTACTTAATTTTATCAGTAACGTCTGGAATAATAGGAATATATCCGGATATAATTCACTAAGAAGGCCTGGTTTGTTGTCTTTGTATTAGGACGTGTAGCTAACTAGAAATTGGAAAAAATGGCACTAGATCTCCACCTTTTTGTCTGTTTGATTGACCTAAAATTGTCGGGCATCGTCCTTCACCATAAGCGATTCTCAAAAATAATCAGATTCGATTCAAGGAGATGAAAACTATGCCTTCAACCACTGAGAAGTGTATTCAAACTATGGATACACAGAATTGTATGTGTAAATGCAGCTGCAGCTTCATTGGAAGCGAGGAAACCGTTGGTGATACAGCAAGTGGAAGTTGCACCATCGGTAATGGCCATGAATAAAGAAAATAGTCATGTTGACAAGTAGTACAGTACTGCAAATCAAACAACGCATTTGGATACCCTTCACTGGATTTGACAGTAGTGAACGTGATTAAATGAAATAATTATGTTGACACCTTCGTACAGTACTGCAAATCAAACAAATGCATTTAGGTATCCTTTGTTTGAGTACTATCACGCTCCTGGCATTCTCCTTATGTTATGACTGCAAACTCATCACTAATGACCTGATGACAAATACCAGAAACTCGGATTCGGAAACCAAACTATGCCCTTTTTCCCTTTCCCGGTCTAAGAAACTACTAAATCTTCGACCCACAAAAGAATCATGGCTAAAGTTATATGGACTTTGGTTAAACTGTTTAGCCGTGGATTAGTACAATACAATCATGACATATAGTGCTCTTACAGCATTGTTTTGAGAACTCATTGTTTCAACACGAGTCGGTCTCATTCGTGCATACCTGTGCAACCATCCAATGCTGAATTGAAGACTATCCCTAAATTAAAAATTGACTCTTTGGTGCAAAATGCGCATGCTTACCTTACCACAGGAGCTAGAAGGCGTTTGAAAAACAAGATTTCCTTACTTGTACTTGTCCATAATTCTTCTTGCTTCTTCTAAACTGTCTTCAACAGAAGTAGTTCCTTCACCACCAGGTCCACCACCCCCTTTTGGCCCTTCATCCTTATTCAATGCTATGAATGTGAAATAACTTAGTCCCATTACAGCCTGCTCCCCAATTAGGAAAATCGTTCTTGATTTAGTTAAAACCACACAAGGGAGCATAGGAAAAGTTAATGTATGAATCACCTTGAAAACATACCAGAACAAAGAATGCTGTAGACAGGAATGACTTCAGTACAAAAAGTGCCAAGGTCACAGCAATTACAGTTATGGAAATCCTTGCAATCGGTCTTGGAATAGAATCCTTAAAATGGCAAAACGAAGACATCGTGCTTATCATCATTGAAAGTAAAGGGTATATACAGTCTTGGATTATAACAAGACTAATCAATAAGCAAAGCATGCTTACAGGCACAAAGCTAGTTCCTGCTTCAATTCCATCCTTTCCGACCTTCCACACTGTTTGAAAAACTATTGAACAAATTATGAAAATAAAGGCAATTAAAGAATAATGTAATTTAACATGAGAAATTGAAGAAGTGACTTGTATTAGTTTCTAGCCAAGGTCAAAGTTCATGCACAAGCAAGAATCCCAATAGCTTCTGATATAATGGAAAAGAGGTAGCAAATGACAGAAAGTGCCTAAACAAAAGCTTGATTGGCTGCTTCATAGTCTCAGAAAATACAAATATGATTTTGTTTCATCCTGTCACCCAGACTTTCTTGGCAGTTTCCCTGAATTTTTTTTGAATAACCAACGCAAATAACATAATCCCAGAAAGCAGCAAGTGCAAATAAGGTCTTAAATATGAAACTTGGAACAAGATAAAAGCACTACTACTTGATAGAATAAGCTTAGACTTATATTTTACCGATCCAATCTATAATCTCGTCAGCCAACTAGAGCCCCAATATTACAGACAGAATACTACATAAGAAACTATTAACATTTTAACCTCGATTACTATCTCTGATCATGTGGGCACACATTCACTTTTGAGAAACTTTAAAAGCTCAAGTTACAAGAGATAAATTTCTTGAAATTACCTATTCATCGTGACCTTCACGCACTAACCAGATTCAAGTTTCTTATCAAAGCTCCGAGAAGTTCACAGTTCTTGTAAATTGGTGACTTCAAATCTTGAATTTAACCACCTCGAAGCACCTCACTAATAGTTCTTCAAAGAGAGGATAAACTTGTTTATTTAAATTATAGCTCAACATTCTCTTCACGTTCTGTCCAGATTCAATTTTATTATCAAAAGTCTGACCGGTCCACACTCTCTCTATATGTAAAACAGCAAATGTTGAACTCAGGACCATATTAAACCATGTCGCTAATAGCCTTTATAGAACGGATAAACTTATTTATCTAAATTATTTCTTTGTCACGGCTCGAACCTTCAACAATGGCAGCTCCTCGCCATAATACTGAAAATACACTGAACGGGACTGAAATAGCTAAACAAGATAAAAAAGAGAATGGGGAGGGGTAAAAATGAGGAAAACACAGAAGTATTGAGAGAGAGACGAAGAGGAATTAATCCACTGTCAATTGAAAATCACAAAACCCAACAACCCAGATTCTTGCACATGGGTGTTTATATGCCTCATGACAAGGCATGTTTCACGTGAAAATAAGAAGAAAAAGAAAAGCGTAATACAACCTTTACAATTATTTAGAACCCAAAGCGACACCGTTCTATTAAACCATACTACACCGTTTAGATCTTCTAATGTTGGGTACTTCTTTGGGACTTCGTCTTCTTCATTCAGCTTGGTTTTCCTCCTCTCTCTTGCTGACCTGTGCTTCTTTATTCTCCATCCACCATCGCCTTTCACATAACAATCCTTCCCCTCACCTTGATCTTGTCCCCAAGATCTATGTATAGGGAACTGGAATTTAATCCATTCTGAGACCTTCAGGGTTGCCTTGTTAGGTGGAGAATCTGACCAATGAATGAGCCATTGACGTCCAGTGCGAGTTCTGCGATTCACCAATCTAGATTGCAGGATGTTTAAGAGGTAGCGTTCAGGCTGTAGGGATTGGCTATCACTAGGTAATTGTAGCATCACAAAATTTTGGATGAATTTTCAACCCTTCTGGTAAAGCCAACTGATATGCTACTGCTCCCACTTTCTTCACAACTAGATATGGGTCAAAATATCTCTCGCTTAACCTGTAGTTAGCTCGATGTTCCACAGATTTCTGTGTATATGAATGAAGTTTCAGGAAAACACAATCGCCTTTCTCAGAAGACCTCTCTATTCTATTTTTTTCTACGTAAATCTTCATCCTGGCCATGGCCTGAGATAGGTTCTCCTTTCACTGTTGGTTTGATTTGTGTTGCCGTATCTCCCCCACTAGCCTCTTTATTTCTGTTTTCTGAATAAAAGGGTATAGATAGGGTCTCATTCTAAATGGCTCTGCTCCCTCATTTAAGGGGATGTGATGATCGTGTAATCTAGGAGGAGGCAGCTCTATTGGATCCTCTAATACTCTGAAAAATTTGGGTATGACTTTGGCCAAGTATATCCTTAGTTTGTTCCTCTTTAATTTGGTACAGTTGTCCCACTACCCCATAAGGTTCTTTGCCATACATTTTCTCCATCTCCCTTATCTCCATTAACTTGATAAGATTTCTAGAAACCTCACTCTTCAATTTAATTACTTCACCATTGCTCTTGAATTGGACATAACGATGTATGAAATCAAAGGTGATTAGACCAAACTGACTCATCCAATCTACCCCTAGTACCATGTCACTACCTGATAATTTAAGGGCCCTGAGTTCGAACTGAAATTCCCAGGTTTGCACCTTCCAAACCACTGGTTGTCCTAATGCTCTACTCTCCAATTTATCACCATTGGTCATTCTGACTGCCACTTTGTTATTTTCATGTATGACATATCGCAGTTCTTTGGCTAATTTCTCATCAACACAACTGTGGGTACTCCCACTGTCAATCAGTATGGTTATCTTCCTTCCTTTATGCTTTGAACTCCCAGCTAAGGCATTGATAGAGATCTCCATTAACTCTTCTCCTTCTGATTCAGATTCCCATTTCCCTTCGGTTCATTTTCCTCATCTTCATCCACCAATATAAACTTCAAGGACCTATTCTTACACACATGGCCTATAGTGTACTTCTAATCATACTTGTCACAAAGTCCCAAGTTCTTTTGGTTTGAAAGTCAGTAGGGGTGATGGTTTTGTAGTTGTTTGGCGGTTTACTGATTTTTGGCCATGGTTCTTTATCTTTAGTTCCTTCAAGAGGTTTGGAAGGGTAGGGGTTCCATTTGTTTGGCGAGAAACTCCTAGATTTTTGGAATTTGTTAATAGCTTGGATGGTCAAATCCTGCAGGCTAGCCACTTCAAATGCTTTGGCTAAGGTATTTGGTTTCATCATCTTAACCATGGATTTAATTTCCCCACTCAATCCACTACTAAACATAGATATATGGTAAGATTCTGGAACATGGGGCAATGCCATCATCACTTGGGCTTTCAATTCCTCAAACCTCTCTTGATACTCAGAGACAGTTCCCAATTGTTTGATCTCACTGAAGATCTTAACCACCTCCTCACCTGTGGTCTCCACAAATCTCTTACATAACTCATTAGAGAATACACCCCAATCTGCCCCTGGATGGCTGGCAATGAACCCATCAAACCATATGTCTGCCTTGCCTTTCAAATACATCTCAGCAATCCCTAATCTAAATTCATCAGGCACTTGGCGTATCTGAAAGTATTTCCTTGCTTTCCTAAGCCATTCCCTGGGTCCTTCTCCTCCAAAGTGGGGAAAATCAATCTTAGGAAGCTTGGTGTTTCCGCTATAATCCCCTCTAGTAATTGTACTAGCACCAGTGTTACTGGCACCTGGTGTAGACATCACTACTCCGGCCCTCCCATCAACCACAGATTCCTCCACCCTTTTGTTCTTCTATTCCATTTAAAGATCCAAAGATATTTGGACCAACATGGCTACTAGTTTTTCATACTTTTGATTCATTTCTAATACATTATTTTCGATTTTCTCCTGTCCACAACCCATTACCTAAAGTGTTTGATCTGTGGAAGCCAATTTGTTCTCCAACCTGCTGGTAACGGCCTTAAACGAAGTTCCCAAATCAGCCATCTCTAAATCCAATTTCTTCAAGTGCTCGTCCACAATTTTGGCTCTAGTATCCATGATTAGCAATTGCCTAGTAGTGTACGCCCGCTCTGATACCAATTTGTCACGGCTCGAACCTTCAACAATGGCAGCTCCTCACCGTAATATCGAAAATACACTGAACTCGGTTGAAATAGCTAAGACTATGTCACCAAACAAGAAAAAAAAAAGAATGGGGAGGGGTAAAAATGAGGAAAACGCTTAAGTATTGAGAGAGAGACGAAGAGGAATTAATCCACTGTCAATTGAAAATCACAAAACCCAACAACCCAGATTCTTGAACATGGGTGTTTATATACCTCCTGGCAAAGGCGTGTTTCACAGGAAAATAAGAAGAAAAAGAAAAGCGTAATGCAGCCTTTACAATTATTTAGAACCCAAAACGACACCGTTCTACTAAACTATACTACACCGTTTAGATTTTTCTGTTGGGACTTCGTCTTCTTCATTCAGCTTGGTTTTCCTCTTCTCTCTTGCTGACCTGTGCTTCTTTATTCCCCAGCCACCATCGCCTTTCACATAACATTCTTCTTTATCAAAGTTCCGAGATGACAGCAAATCTTAAACTCATGATTACGTAAAACGGCCTCACAAATAACTTTCAGGGAGTCGATGAACTTATTTATCTAATATTCTAGATTATATCTTCAACATCACTATTCTACATAGACATCAAAGGGCTACAAGATTCCTTACAACCATAAAAGATAAACATTGCTCAGCCAATATAAACTATAAAATTCACACTACTTCAACAAAAACTGTGCATTTATTTAGAAAGAATACAGTTCAACAAAAAAAGAGAGTACCTTTCAAGAAATTGGGTTGTGCGGCATAAATGATGGGCGCAGTCTGAAGTTTGGGATTCTTGAGTTGCTTAATTTGAATACCAGAAATTAAAGTTTGCTTCTTTAATTTGAAAAGGGATTTCGAAGATATAAACTGAGAAGGGCTCAGATTACTGCAACATTTTGGCGAGTGAAGAGACACAGAAAGGGTATTTGGGAATACACCTAAAATACCAGTGGAAGCCATGCTTATGGACACAATTTTATATATTTTCGGGTGTGTGAATACAGAATTTCAACAAATTTTTGGGCAAGAATTTTATGTAGAGTGAGTTTGAAGAAGATATAAAAAGCAAGATTTTGTGAAAAATGGGTGGTATGAAAAAGAGAGGAATTTAAATTTCCGAAAATTGTCAAAAATAGCCCTAAGATTAAATATATGTGCTTTCCTATTTGTTATATCTAACATTTTTCAAATTTTAATCATCTCAAGATCGAATTGAGAAATATTTTGAAAATTTATTATATTTCCTTTTTAATTTCTTGATTAGGGTTCATGCATGCTTTTGGAGAATATGCCTATTGAAAGCAACTAACGTTATTTGACTAGAGTTACAAGTACTTACAAACTTCGGACAAGTTTATTTGAGCCACATTTTTAGAGGATAATGCATTTTTGGGATAATGAATTTTTGGGATAATGAATTGATTAATAATGTGTAGTTAAAAAAATAAGGAAAAAATTTGAATTTACATGTAATATTATTTTATTAAAAAATACGTGATTGACAAATACGAAGAGAAAAATGTATTTTTGAAATTCTTGAAATTTTCTTTTGAAATATATAATTGCCTATGGAGCGGGGGATAAATTAATCAGTTGGACACTGGACAATCTGGCTTTGTCAAAGCAAGGGATGGGGGAAAGCACAAGATCTTGATTTCTTGACCTAGAATAAAATTAAGCTGGGCTTGACCATTCATATGCTATTTTTGTTGGGGAATACACCGATTCAAATGTGCATATTGTATTCACAAAACATAACTTATATGTTCACGAAATCGAAACAAGTTTTCGACTTACCGAAATGGAGTTTGAGAAACTAACCGATGATTATTGAATTTCACCATTTTCATTCTTGAATTAAAATATGTGATTCTTCATATCGAACCTTGCATAAACCATATAAATAAAATTAATCATTTTCTGAAATCAAATACGAAGAAATGAAAATCAGAAATAAGAAAAAAAATTAGATGCAAGTGATGCGATTGGCCGAGACGAGTATAACTCTTTCCTTAAAATGAATTTGCCCCACATCGGTGCTAATGGTTTTTCGGCAATCATCTCCCAAGATACAACGACCACGTCAAGCCATAGGAGCACTCCAAATGGCTTCGACCAACAAACTCGAACGAAATTCCCTCTCTACCATAACCATGATTTTGATGCAAAAGATAATCAGTTTTTCAAAGTGTTTTATGCATAGTAAAGTGTAAAATATGGAATGGAATGAAATTTCTGAATAATTAAATCCAAACATATGAGGTCAATATATAGACGTTGAAAAAGTTAGTCTCAAAAGACACAATCTATGGAAGAGACACAACCATTGGAATTAGTTTCTATATTTAAAGAGACGCGTCTCTTGAAAAATGATAATGCCAAAAGTCGTAATCTTTCATATAGAAAGACACCTTTTCAGCCAAATAATTTCTAGAATATTCCGTAATATTCTACGCACTTTTTCAATAATTCACGTATTTAAGTGATTTAAATTTGGCTTAATTTTTCATTCACCAAATAACACAAAATTTCCAGCAAAATTTCAACAATTCCCCCACATGAATGAAAATTAATGCAAATATCATGCAGACACTAGTAGAGAGAGAGAGAGAGAGAGAGCGGAAAAACATTGTATTAGGGATGGTAGCTTCTGGCCTTGAACCTCCCTTAGTGAAATACCATCGGACTTACTCAGCTAATTGGTGAACGTGATGTCTTGAACCATTCAGCCTTTAGTGTAAGTCAAGACAACGATACTCACACAATATCTTCCCTAAACCGTTCATGGTTCTCATGATTTGGTTCATTTTGGCCTTTAACTCTTCTTGGTTCCGCGAGTATTTAGAGAATTTAAGCCTTGAATAATTCTCATTGAAGCGGCCCCACTTCACACTCACATAGGTGACCTCCTATTAAGAGTATTCTGCCCTACTTCACTTAATTTAATTAAGATATAGGAATCATTAAAAGATTATCTTAACTTCTTGTAACTCTGCAGAAAGCACTTTAATATCATAGGAATGAGTTAGGAAATTATTTTCCTTAGTGCTTCATGGAATCCTCATAACTTAATTGTCCATTTGAACCAAGATCTTGGGATCTCCAGTCAACAAGGTAGCGTTACCATTACAAAGACTCTCACGTAGTAGATTTCAATCCCATTCTTTTCGATATGTAGTATACTTAATCTCTTGGTAAATCTCTTAAAGGTACCACAAGTTTACACTACTGAGATCATTTGCTTAATGGTATTATGTCTATGACTTATATGTCTAAATCTACCATTACATGTGATTTAGTATCTTATCAAATGTTGCTAGCCAATGATCAATTTATTTGATAGATACAATTTGTCGTCACCAAGAAATCCTCTCATGAAGTTATATGCATTATTGGCTTTATCTAAAGCTTTATCAATTTCTAAATACGGTTGGAGGATTTCTATCAAACACTACACAAGTCAATCACTTTTACTAGTGGATTTCAGAATCATGACTCTTCAATATCATCATTGAAACATTACCATGCATTTGAACTTTATGAATATTTTTCATATATTCCAATTGTTCTTGCATGTCTAAACAAACGTCATAATCGACTTTACAACCCATTTCATCCACTTTAGACTTAACATATATTATCTTTATAATTAGTATAAGAGTTTTCTATCTTTCCATCTTCATAAATATCATTCTTGATTATAAGATAGAAGCAAACGTAACTGTTAAACTGAGTTACCCCTTAAAATCATCAATTAGGAATACATATGCAATCTAGTAATGTTATATCGACAAGTTTTAAACTTTCCATTTCAAGTTCACAAGCATTAAATTTAACCCCCCACATTCTTGAGTTATATTTGAACTTAGAATTCAACAACTCTTTTATAATTCTATTCATTTATTTCTTAGATAATATCCGTATCGAGTGTTTCGTGAAAATCTAAATACTTTCAAAGTAGTGGTCGTCAACTTGCATATAACTTACTTCAATCTAATTAATTTTGATCATCCAAATTAAATCAATGCTTTCAAAACATATACCAATTTAATTGGTTTCATGATTGAAGTCAATTTCAACAGTGAAGAGGGCTAAGCATCTTGATTCACAAGAATTGCAACTTCTTTTATCACATTGTGATATTTCACATGATAGTTTCATTTCATGTCAAATAATAAGATACATATTCACCATATTCAAATTTGAACGAACAAATCAACTATAGATTGAAAAGTTGTGTTCTCAAGAGACACAGCCCTACAAAAAAAACACCTCTTGAATTATTCTCTATGAAGAAACATACCTATTGAAAAATAATTATATCAAAAGTCATGATTTTTCATATAAAATGACGCACATTTTCATCTAAATTGATCCTAGAATCAATCAATTGAATTGACCAAAACCAAATGGTCAACCATACATGTGGTATAAACCTTGAACTAGTCAAATTAATTCGATAAACTATTTGAATAATGTTCAATACCAATTCATATATGTGCGCAAGACAGTTCAATATTATTTCGAACTATCTTTGAAAACATTATGCCTCCCTTCGGGAATCCTCATTTAAATGTTTGAGGTTTATTTATCCAAAGATTTCAACTATGTCTCAATTTGCATTCTCTTCAAAGAACAATTTTCCTTCTTAGAAGAATTACACAATCTTTGCATAATATGGTTCTTATCCTTTACACTATCTATGCTCTATAAAGTATTTTCATGTCTTAATATTTTCGCAACAATTTTCACTAGAACAAATCACAATTTATCATACTTTATGCAAATATAATTGGCATAAAAGTCATCTCACTTAATTCCATAGGATTAAATGAGACTATCAATATTAATCAAAGTTAGTATAATTTCAACAAAATATGAAAAATTAACCTACTAATTTATCATGTCATATTTCATATTCCAATAAAAGAATAATCATAAAAGTTCATATATTTTCACAATTAGTTGGCATCTATTCCAGTAACATTGGAGTTGTACCAATGACCAACATATATAGATCATATTTAAATAAATATACAT